TGTATCATTTCAGTTTCATAATTTCATTCTTAAAATTATTATTTTGATAAATTCAGTGTTAGTAAGTAAAGCAAATCATTACATAAACTTTTTGTAAAATGAATTTGACTATTGCAAGTAGATCAGATCAGATTGATCTGTTCATCATACTTATCATGGAACAATTATATGAGCACAATTATTTCCTAGTTCACAGATAAGCATTTGATTATTTAAGATGAAAATAAAATTTTGTAAAATCATGTTTTTCATCTACCCTTTTTCAAATTTATGTTTTTTTAGCAGTTTGTTTTTGAAAACTTTAATTGATTCAAAACATTTCAATACCAGTTTTCATAATTTCTTTTGCAGCGATGGAAAACATTAAGTATGGATAATGTTTTACGTCCTCTCACTCTCAGTGTCCATTACTGTTTGCAAAAAAGTATACTCGAAAGCTATAATATTTGCTACAAATCTATAATAATGCACAATTTACGTTAGCTATTATGGCAAAAACTAATTGACTCAGTTTTGATTTGATTATTTCAATATTTGAATAAGTTGATCAAAGTTGATTAGACTTTTTGAGTCGCAGAGAGCTAAATAGATACTTCCAACTAAATATTAGTTATCTTGGTTTCAGATGGTAAAAAATCTTCGGTTTGGAATCTAGAAATTAGCAGCTTTTACGTACGTCTTTTTCGAATTCAAGCCATTGTTGCTTGTCATGTTTGCTTAAAATTTGTTAATCATATAAAAATTTGAAGCTCATTTATTAATTTTTGTCAAATTAATTTAATATTAAGTAATCACAATTAATGGTATCACTAATTTTGATTGAGAAGTTTTTGCGTGATAGGGCTGAACCAAGTGTATTGCATCGAACACTTAAGGTACCAAATCTACAGCATCTCTTCAATGAAAGTTATGTAGTGCGCCGAGCATTCTTTCACCAACAAAAATTTTAAGTCGTTTTTTAAAATGATTCCTCGCGCAGATATATATCTTTCACACAAGAGATATCGATGACAAGCTGATAGTGTCCTATTATTATAATTTCAGTCACAGAACACTCTTTTTTGGCCGATAGTTACAAAATTGATGACTGTTTGCGATGAACTGAAGACTCACGTTGGTTGATTGATGAATATTGCAGCTGAAAAAATGGAAGGATGCAAATTAGATCAAAGTTTTAAATGTTTGTCGATTTCACATAAATGAAATAACTGATGAGAAATGATAATAGAAATAAAATGATTAGTTCAATTATTGTTTCAAGAAAAATTGATTTAATAAAAATGTGGCAGTTCTGTGCAATTTTGATTTAGTTCCGTTTGTATATCTGGAACTGATTATTCAGCTGTTCATGCTTAGTTTCTTGCTGATGCAATAACTAAGCAGCTTATTATAGGTATAAGAATATTTACAGTTTAAATTTGATTGTTTTTCATTTTAGCTCTTGATTTAAATATTAGATTATTAATTTGCTTTTTATGAGAATTAAAATGCAATTGGCATTAAATTAGTGCGAGTTTGTTTTTGATGAAGCTTTTAAGTACCACGAATTCCATTATAATCAGTAATATCTGTTTTATTGCTCAGTCTATGCAATGATAGCGACCTAATACTATTCCAAATTTTAAATCAGTCTGTTGATCTACATTTGAGGTCAGTTAATCAAGTTTGATCTGATTTAGACTGATAGTTTAAAAATATAAAACTAAAATGTTATCATTACCACATGAAATGACAAGTCATTGTTCTAATCTGCTTATTACTCTGCATGTGATTTTGCACTGAAAGATTATTTGCAGTACATTAAGTTTTATTCTGAAACTAAAAATTCATATTTGCATTTGGCAAGTATTCGCATTGTGATGATGACATTTACGATGATACTAATCCCAAAGTCAATTAGTACTGCTTTGGATTATTTTAAGTAGTAAAGGTCAAATTTGAAATAGTAATCAGAATATTCCATTATTGCTAGTTTTTGTAACAATTTATATAAAGGAGTAATTCATGTTGATAGTTAACGAACACTGAAGGTCGTATATTGCAGCAAGTAGAAGGCATGAATATTTCAGGAAAGATTGGTACTGCAATACGTGATGATTATAGTGGGGCGAAAAGTAAACAAATAAAGTAGTTTATTAGTAACCAGTTCCCAGGAAACTACTCCAACATATCAGGTGTAAGTAATTGCTTTTTTTAATTAAATTAACCAGCAAATTGAATTGATTTATTTGATCTGTAATGAATTTGATGAAGCTGACATTTTGCTCACCATTTGATTATTTATCATTATTTGTAATATTTATATATTTTGTGTTGATCTGAGTTGAAAATTGATTGACAGATCAGTGAATCGTTTTTTTTTTTGTTGAGCTTTCTTATAAATTAAATTAGCGAAACAAACTATTAACGGTTTTTCAGAATTGCAAAAAGATTTTCATAAACGTGAGGATGGGATTTGAAATCAAAAGAGTGGTTTGAATAGACTCCTAAAAATTATATTTGAATCAACTTTTACAGTAATCTCAGTTGTCAAGTTAACAAAATTTTTTTCCAAAATTCACTTGCTTTTCATAAGTATGATATATATGTAAAGTTGTAATGTCATTGGTTTCATATTATAAAAAGAGTTCTCAAAAAATTATAAGAATCAGTATCAATATTTGAAAATGCTGCCGATTCTGCGTAATTTAAAGATCTATAACTCTCGCTAAAGCATGCATTCTGTTAACAGAATTCAACAAATGTTAACACGCTTTGCAACTTTTCGAGTGAAAAATACTCTTAATGAGGTCAATCTCCACAAGTTTTGGACGAAACCATTTTCCACATGGCTATTGTGAGAACAAAGTTGATCAAAACAGTACCTATATTATCGATGATGAATGTTGCAACCAAATGATTGTTCTTAGGCAAATATTGCACATCGAAGGTAAATTTGACTAACGTTATCAAAGTTCTGGTCGCATCTGTGCATAATTTTTTCTGATTCTAAATTTTCAAATTGTCTGCATTTGAATCGCATTCTTGGGAAAAATGAAAACGTAAATTGAACCTATGATTGTCAGAAGCTATGTTGGTTTTTCTTTTTTGCATTAATAATTAGTGCTTTACTTGATTACGTTATTAGTTAATTTGATTATATTATTTGGTTGTATTATTTTAAAATGTGTTATATTCAATTTATTTAATTACTTGATGAGTAATTTTTTGATTTTTTGAGTTAATGAGTAAATAGTTGGAAAATATACAAGTCAAATAATTTTTTGTGAAATTTTTGCAGTCAAATGCATTGGTTGTCAATTGAAAGAAAAGTTGCAAGAAAAAAAAATTATATTTCTATTTAGGTCATTTTAACAAGTTTTATATCAGTCTTTTATGATCTGAGGCTTTTACGTGGCAAAAGTACACAAAACACTCTTCGTTTCACGTTTTGCAGCAAAATAAAAACTACAAAATCGAAAACAGCTTTTTTTTTAATGAAAAAATCTTACTTATCAGTAAGTTAATCGTTTATTTGATTTCTTAGAAATAAATTTATTTAAAAAGTAGTGAAAAAATAAAATTTGAAGAAATAATAGCACAAACGTAATGTCTTCCAAGTTTGTCTGTGTACTTGTTGTGCAGTGGAAGATAACAGGCATAAGTAAGGTCATCTGATGGCTTTTTGAATGATTGTCATCTGAATCACAAAGTGACTTTAACTACATAGGCAAAAAATTATTAGATCCAATCAATTAATTAATATTTTTCAATTTTTGTAAATATCAAATCTTTTTATAGTTTGAACTAAATTGCATCGTGCAGTACTATTTTTATCAGCGAACTGATAGAAATATATAATTCTTATACATTTTTGACTTTTTGCAACTAATTTTATGCAGTTATGAGTTGCGTTATTAATACTATTAATTATTATCATTAAATATTAACACTTTTCATGAGATTCAAAATGCTTAAATTTCATTATGAATTAATAAAATTACTAATTTCCATTTCTCTGATATAATTAATTAATTGCTTAAGAAGTATACTTGTAACTTTTTTGTTCACTTCGATCAATGAAAATCAAAAGTCAATGAGAATAATTTATGCAAAATTGTACTGTAACATATCGTTTAATAAGTAACTAAAGACAGTTCATGTTAGGCAAATGGTTGCAAATAATTAAGATTAATAATTGACATTTAATCATTGCATCTTTTAAAACTATCTTCCAAATATGATAATATCTGCTTTGAAAACAATTTATCAGTGCATAATAGATTTAATTTATTGATATTATATCAGTTTTTTATTCTCAAAAAAATAATTTGTAACCTAAAATATAGTCAAATACGTGTGAGTATAAGTATAAGTAAATATAACTCGTTTCTATTTTCTACCAAAATATCAAATGGCAGCAAATGACTCTGCGAGATGTAAATTTTGTTTTGCTCAATTCACTTCTATTTGAGTTAAAATTTGTTTTGATTGTTAAAAAATTTCTCATTCTTTTATGTTTTTTATTTTAGGTTTTATACAATTTATGCAATGAAAAAAATTCACAGTTTGCATTTGGAAATTGAATAAACATTAATACTGAACCTTTTCGCAGTACCCAACTAACTAATACTTTCTGTCATTTCTTTGCATCCAATTTTTTTGCCTCTTTTTCGTACCAAAATTTAAATCAGATATTATGCAATAAAATTTTTGTTGTGAGCTAAATACCCAGAAAATGAGTCAAATTTCAGTAAAATTGATTCATTTAGAATATACAAAATGAGTCAAAATTTGTTAAAATTAAAATTTGGGATCACATGCAAAAAAATAATGCTAAGTTGATCAGTGATGTAGTAAACACTAAGCTCTACAAAGTAATATTGACTACATGATATTGAACTTGAATCTAATCAGTCGGGAGAAATATTTTCAAACACTTGCTGAGGAAGTCAGCTGTTTATTGATAATCTTTTAATTCAATCATTGAACTAATTAAGTTTGTTCAGATTGGCGCAAGGATGACAGTAAAATATAACCTGGATGTATCTACTTCTCGACCTTGGACACTGTTTAAATTACTATTTCGGTGGCGTGGAAGTGTTTGGAAGTCAGTGACATTTGAACTTGCTATTTGGTTGGTACTGTATTTTAGCATTGCTGCTATTTATCGAAATGTGTTATCACCTTTGCAAATAAGGTAAAACCCTATGACAACATCATTTTGCAACAAAATTTTGTCAAAAAACTGCATTAAAGAATATAATTGAAAGGCACGTGAAGTTTATTCAAAATGTACTTTGAACATTAAAAAAGAAAGCGTAAATTACATTTGGAAGCATTGTACTTGAAGGAAACAAGTAACTAAGAGGGTGGATTTCACGATTCCTTGAAATTGTTCCGTGTATTTTTAAAGTCAAATTAGCTTTTTATAAAGTTTGTATTAATAAAACTTAATATTGAAATTATTTTGTTGTTTTTAATATAATGAACTTCTGAAGTTTACGAAATGCAAAATATGTCTAGTAAGAATACTTAATGTAAAAAGTCCGAATTGCTGTTTTTATCAATGTATTTATTGATTGGTTAATTAAATGATCAATCAAAGTTTTTTTCACATAACAGTGCAAGTGCCCATCAAAATTTGTCAGCGGTGCAAATATTTTTCTAAAAATATGCAAATTTGCAGGGCATTTGAAAAACTTGTTCATTTTTTGGATGAAAAATTAACATACATCCCAATAGATTTCATGCTTGGCTTCTTCGTTACTTCTGTACTGAATCGTTGGCTAACATTTTTCGATAACATTGGTTACATTGACAAGTACGCATGTCACTTTTACTTTTGCACTATTTTTATTCATAACTTTCCAATTTTGCCCCAAATTATGATAATTTTGACTTTTATTTTAAACTAAATACGAGTTTTATCAAATATATATGCTCAGTATTATCACATTGTTTCAATTGCAATGAACGATTTAGTATAGCGCTGATGACAGCAGCTTATGTTCGTGGAAATGATGAAACATCACGTAAAATGCGTCGTAATATTGTTCGCTACTGCGTGTTGTCTCAAGCTCTTGTTTTCCGTGATATTAGCATGAAAGTGAGAAAACGATTTCCGACAATGAATGCCGTCATTGCGGCAGGTTCTTAACAATATATAATCAAATTATTAAATTAGAATTAAAATTCGATTACTTTTTTCCTCAAGTTTTTATTTAACTAGTCAAAGCTGTCAAATTTACAACAAATTAAACGTTTATTTTATAAAAACTTTTGATTGCAGTATTTAAATATGCATGAAACTACGAAGCATTTTCATAATTTTAGCATTTTTTACTGGTTTTCAATATAAATTTGCATATTACATATGATGAGCTCAGTCAAAACTTCAGTGATATTTTCTAAATGTTCTGATTGCTTTGTTATACTTTTCTTATATATTTGACCGACTCAAAAACTTTGCTAAAAATATTTTCATAGTATTTACACTCAAATTTGGTATTTATAAACTTTTCTACTTGTTTATTACTGCATAAGGTTATATGATTTTATTATTTTTGCGTAACTATTTCAGATGTATATAATTATGCGTACAATTATTTTAAATGTATATAATTAAGCACACAAAAATGACTATTATTTTTAGATTTTCATTTGCAAAGAAAACTAAATTAATGCACATTTATATTGAAAAAATTTATCAAAAATTGTATTTGAAATGTAAAGTATTTTAATTGAAATTGAGGGAAAATTTGTTTACTTCAATTTACTTGAAGTTTTTTTTGATAATTGACAAAAGTAATGTTCAGGTTTCATGATGCCACATGAAAAACTGAAATTAGATGAAGTTCAATATCGTTACGACAAATATTGGATACCATTCCAGTGGGCTTTGGCTATTTGCGATGATGCGCGACAGCAGCAAAAAATTGCAAGTGATTGGCTACATAGAAAAGTTGGAGAGGTCAAATATTGTTACAATAATTTCTCGTCAATTCTTTCCTACATTTGCTAGCATCAAAATTCAAGATTTAATCGGATTTTAAAAAATTATTATTATAAGAATAAATTTATAATATTAAATCTGATATCGTATCTTAATAAAGTTAAGCAAAATTGCTTATTTAATTGCAGAAAAACTTGATAAAATTAATCTTATTTTAATAAATTGTATATTTTCAATATATATGTCTTCAGATTATTGAATTAATTACTAAAATGAAATTAAATGAAGATCGCTAAAAAATTTCGATATCAAAAAAGGATATCAACTAGTGATATTGATAATAATATCAAAATAGGGATATTGATAATAATAACAATAATAATAATGTCAAATAGTGACATTGAAATAATAATAATTCAATGTATGTACTGATAATAATACTCACCATGGTGAAAATAATAATAATAATAATAATAATAATAATAATAATAATAATAATAATCATTAATTTTTATAGGAAATCAAACGATTTCGTACAAATATGGCAAATTTGTATAATTTTGACTGGGTACCACTTCCGATAATGTATCCTCAAACTATTGTTTTAGCAGTGCACTTGTATTTTTTCATCTGCTCCATCTCAAGGCAACATATTCTATCCGATGAAGCACCAAACAAGTCTAAAGTAAGTAGCTGTTAGAGTATGCTTTCATTTAAAGCATTTCATTAATTTACAAATCCATCTAACGATCAAAAATTCATTTTTGGTAAAATAAATGACACTGTAAGACCAGAAATTTATCAGTTCTCAGAAACACATATCCATTTAATTATTTTATCACTATTTTTTTGGTTTCTTGAAAATTTATATACGATTTACTGAAAAAA